GTCTTACTGTGAATATGACCCATTTCTAAGGGGAAAACAGTACAAATAAAGCAGGTTCTGCACTATTTATCGCAGTCTCTTTACTTGATTTCTCGAAAGAAATCACAGGAAATCGGAAAAATCCCCAAATCACCTGTTTTCCCCTTACAAATGGGTCATATTCAGTGTGATTTGCAGAACTCTTGATGGGGCTTTTTAATTGTCAAAATGAGAATATTGACTAATTCGAAGAAATTCGCGATCAGTTTCATTTATGCAGAGGACATCGCCGAAGCAGGTGACCTGATCTTCGCTCTGCATAATATAAATCTTTTCATTAAATTTGTTCAATTATTATTGGGTTCTCACCTATTTGACACTATTCTAATTAATATAATATATTTATTTTTATTTCACGATTAAAGTACATAGATCAGTAAAAAAAAAGTAGTAATATTATAAATGAAACAAATTTCATAAAAAAATAAGAATAGATAAATACCTAATAAAGTATCAGATGTAGAAAGACAAAAAATTATCAGTTCGCGTATAATACATAGAGAATAAATGATATTCAACAACAAAAACTAAGTACATTCAAATACAAATGCATAAAATGGCATCATTTGATAAAAAACAAATCTTGAACAATAAAAGAGCACGTAATTAAAGTATAAGAAAAGTGATTTACTTTTAGTTCTATTTGACATACCATACATTAAAGAATAACCTTGATAATCGAAATCAGTTGGCAATATTTGATATATTCAAAATGTTATTTGTCGCTGACGTTGTTTCCGAAGAATCTGAGTCACCTTCAGGTGATACTGGATGTCCCCAGTCATCGCTATCCACATAATTATTATCGTCATCGCTGTAAGTATTTGTCTCTTTTTGCCACGTCCCCTGTCCTGGCATACTATTATAACGATGATAACGTCGTGTTGTTGGAGCCGCTATTTCCGTGCTTATATCTTCATCTAATGCCTGTTGTTTTTCTTCTTCTGTCAATTTTTCTTCTAAACGATCTTCTAATAGTGAATCATGCTCTTGACAAGACAATATGAATTGTTTATGTTCATGAATAGTAGTTTTCAATATTTCATCTTTTATCCTATCTTCATTCATTGTACTCAATGTATCACCTTCATCTGGAGTAAATGAATAGATCTCTTGAAGTTCTGTGGTAGTAAAATGTCTATCTAATTGTTCTGCATCAACGACACCTATAAGTAGAAAAAAGAAAAATAGATTGATCGTTTTTATCATTTTTTATTACTTACGATGTGATAAAGCCGTTTTTGTTATTTGTCGACGATAAATGACTTCTTCCATTGTACCATTCACCAATAAACGATAAACAAAAACTGGTTTGCTTTGTCCAAGACGATACGAACGAAACATGGCTTGTAAATCATGAGCTAAAATCAAACGGTAACATTAAAAAATAAATGAAGAGAACTTTCTTCTGTTTACACACCTGGATTCCATGAACAATCAAATATAATAACACGATTTGCACCTATAATTAGCGATACAATGAGAATAACTATGATCAATTTTCTCTTTGTTTGTACATACCAAAGAGATTAATTCCAATTCCACCAGCAGTTGTTGATATCAAAAATAATCGTGCCGATTTATCTTGATTAAATATTTTCACATCACTTGTACGTTTTTCGATTTCCGTTTTTCCATCCATTCGAAAATAATCTACTCCTTTTTGCCATTTTATCGTTTTTGTTGACCACAATTCTAATAACTCTTCGATATACGACAATGTGAATAAACTTCGACTGAATAACAATACTTTATCTCCAATTTCGTTACATTGATCTAAAATTGATTTCAACACGACCTGAAATGAAAAGAAATAATGAAATGAATACTTATAAAATGTAAAGATTTAAAAACTCACCATTTTTCCACTTAATTGATAATTCAGTTTGGCCATTCCATCAAAATAGTTATACCACCATTCGTCTTTCATGGCTTCTGTGCACGCGTCATACACTATACCTTTATCATCAACATCATTTGGATTAAAAAAATATTTTACAACTGATGACTGTTTAGTTGTTGCTGCTGTTGCCCAGAAATTCCGAATAAAAATATAATTTTCTTTTCATTTATTTATTAAAATAAGTAATGTTTCCTACTATTGACGATACTTACTGTCTTCTTTTTTGATTGTTTTTTTGGTCTTTCATCTTTATCATCATTACTGATATCTTGAACATCATCTTCATGATTAAACAACTGATTTATTTCCTCTTGACTGTCATCGACATCATTTTTGATTTTATGAAAATGATCAACAAAATGTGCTCGTAATAACCATGGATGAGTCCAGATTTTCATTAAATAATGATAGTCAGGAAGTAATCTAAAAATGTTGAATATTAGCAAATCAGAAGTAGCATAAGCATCAGAATAAGCTGCATAAATATTCATGTAATAATTAGCTAAATACCTTGGCTTAATAAATTTTCCATTGTTTAAAAGAATTAATTTTGGTTTTCCAACGTCTTCATCTTCTCGAAAACCCAAATATCCAGCATATAAATCTTTTTGTAATGGAGAACAACGTATTTTTATTGTATATTCACTTTTCTTTGGTAAAAATTTTCGAAGTACATTAAAATCACGCCGATGGATACAATTTTTCAATAAATCATTTAAAAGATATGAACGTAATTTCATTTTTTTAACAGCACTAGGACTTGAATCACGATGTTGACCAGCTTCAATAGGATTTTGAAAACGATTTTTAAATTCTTCTTTTGTACCCAACAAACCATTTGGTTTACAAAAATTGACCATCGCATAATATTCTAAAAGATTATTTTGCATTGGTGTACCCGTCAAACATATTCGACGTTTTGTCAATATTTTATTTACAACAACCGTTATTCCAGCTTCTAAATTTTTTAAAATATGAGCTTCATCGCAAACAATTAAGTCAGGACCCGGATTACGTAAATAGAAACGATGTTTTTCAATTGCTTCATTTTCTTCCAACGATAATTTACGTGGTTCTTTGCCGTCAGGATACTTCTTTCTAGCCTTTTCGTCGTCATTTATTGTCAATAAACGGTACATTTCATAACCTAATAAAATCAATGAAAAACGAAGATATTTAAAATGAAACAATAGATAAAATATTTTATTCACTTGCCCATTAATAAAACTCCGCCATTACTATGCCAAGATCTTAGAAATCGTATTCTTTGTGCTTTTTCAACGGTGGCAAATTGATAGATTTTAATCTTTGGTTCTAATTTTGAAAGCCACCATTTTTCAAATTCTGCTTCCCAACTAGAACAAAAAGTTAGTAAGTTTATCAAATTTTTATTACTCATAATTTGATTATTTACTTGAAAACTGTGTTCAACGGACATAAAACGAGAACAGTACGAAGTCCAGTTATTTCTTGATTATTGAATAATGTATGAATAAAACTAATAACCTGAAATGTTTTGCCTAAATAAAAGATTATTAGAGTAAACCAACTTGTTTGTAATTAATTACTGCAGTTAATATAGAATGTTGCTGCGAAACATTTGTTTTGAATTGCGTCTCTTTCATAAGAGAGAAACAACATTGTTTTATTTAATTAGTGAACAGTTGTTCTCAATTAATTAGATAAAAGTAAGAATTCAACACATACCTAGTCCCATACAATGTGCCATTATACATCCACTACCACCAATGTCATTAGTATCATTTTGTTCATATATTGTTGTTTGAGAAATATGACGTTGTTGTTTAAGACGTTCAACTGATTCATAACAATTGTCCCATAGAAAACGTACACCTTCAATTTGATGTTTTTTCATTTGTTTAACGAGACGTCGATCAACTTCAATTAACGGATATTGTTCAAGTATTAATTCTTGTTGCTCACCAGCATTTTCGGCGTTTAGCTTTTGTTGTTCATTCAACAATGTTTCATTGTATAATTTTTGTTTTTCTTGTAAACGCTTTTCTCGTTCACGTTCGGCAGTTAATGCTAATTGCGTTTGTGGACACAATTCATCATCTTCTATAATTCGTCTTGTCTCTGGTCTCTTCTTTTTTACTCTAAATAAATGTTTAATTTCATCCTCATCACTTGATACATTGTTATCATCCTTCTTAGTTATTTCAATTTTCCGTCTTTTTCGTTGATAAACATGTTGTGAATTTGACGTTTGAGTGAATGGAGAAGTTTCTAACTCTTCTTTCACTCGTTCATTCGTTTTCCGATTCGGTGATAAATCATTTATATTTCCTTTTGCTACAACGAAAAAATCTTGTTGGGTATTATCATATAATATTGAATGTTGATTTGGAACTCTAGTTGCTAACGACAATAGAATACTATCATTTTTCCGAGAATGATTCGGTGATGCGGTTTGTGACGATGACTGAGATCTCATAGTTGCAGGTGTACTAGAAAAGTCAAATAAGAAACAAAAAATTTGATTTGGATGTTGTTTTTTTTCGATATTTATTTACTTTGTTTGTAACGTGGTTGTTGCTGTCGATGATGTGGATGTTTTCATCTTTGCTCGTGCTAGTATTGATTCAAGTCGTTTGTCAGTTTGTAAGTAGTAATCAAAGGACATCTAAACAAAATAGAAGAACGATATTCTATTAGAATTTTACATTGCCATAGAAGATAGTTTTCTACACTTAACAGGGACTGTAATTAAAAAACGACAATATATTTAAATAAAACGTACTTTTATTCAAAGGTGGACACCTCTCGCTAGGTTCAACTTCAGCTTCTTCTCAAAAATGTGTGTATTTACTTTTTACTCGAAAACAAAAACAGGTATGGTACAAAAGTCGATAATACAACAGCAAGCACATTGCTTTTGATTGGACGAATGGATTACTACCTTCTGAAAGAAACAGAAAGGATGGGAGGCGTTTTTCTACGGAACTTGGGAGGGGGGAAGAGCGGTGTAAAAAATTTTTGGGTGAAGTAAGAAAAATTTTTTTTCGTTGCGCCGCGTGACCAAAAGAAACAAAAAAAGTTTTTTAGTTCCGCTAAGAGGAAACAAAAATCTTTTATTTTTGCAGGGTGTACATCTCCCTTCCTCCGATTTTCTAAAGTTGATCGCTCGAATGCTTTTCCTTATTTCGAGTTTTTTCCAAGTTATGTTTGCTAATATTATGTTATACAACAAAATATTGCCTTGAACAAGATTTCCAAAACGGTATATGTGAAATGTTTTTCGAATATCAATGTACGGAATAATACACTAAATTCAATCAAATTCTTTTCTTGTGAGGAAGATCGATAAGTCAAACATAATGAATTTTCTCTTCCTAATCAATTTATTTAAATTCAATCGCGACGTTTCGTTGATCTCAGATCAACTTCATCAGACAAAAGATACAAACTTTAAATTTTCTACTGCACACGACAATATATATATTTATATATGGCACAAGTCTTTGTTCTATTTCTTCTCTTTAATAGTGATACAGAAACAAGACAGTAAGGTGACTAGTTCGGTTTTTAACCTTTGTATCACTATTATATTAATTATCAATGCCTCTTCAATACAGCCAACGCCTTTGCCATTGATAATGAGAAAAATTGGTGTAGAAGAAGATTGAAAGAAACTATCTCTCTAAAATTAATGATTCAGTCAATAAGAGAGATGATCTTACAGAAGCTTGGGATCCTGTTCAAAAAGTTCAACAACAGATTAAAAGGAAGATTAAATCAAAATTTGAAACTTTTCAGAAATATAGAAAATCAAAGACTTAGGAACAAGATGGTAATAGTGATACAGAAAGGTCCCTAGTGAAAGTACTCATACGATGAGTACGACTTTACTCATAATTCGTCCATGAGTACTCATATTGGTACTACTAACAATTTCTGAGTATTGTTACTCAGTGAGTACTCAGTTACTCATATGAGTACTCAGGAAATATTCATTCATCGTTTTATTTTACTAAACTGAAACTGTATAAAGAATGTAGAACTTAGTGAAGAAACATAGAATATTTATATTATCATTTTCTTACTGGTCTCTCTTTATATAGTCAGGGATGGACTCGCCTATGACTGGACTTGTAGTCCTACTCTGGCTACCTGAGATCACTCCTCTATATGAAAATATCGATGAACAATACTCATGAGTATTTTGCCGAAAGTGGTATGGGCACTCAACAATACCCAAGCATGATTACTCAAAGTCGTACTCAGAGTACTTGTTACTCACTCATGAGTACTCAGGTGAGTACTCAGTGAGTAAAAAAATGTATGAGCACGTATGAGTACTCGTCCGGTTTTTCTAGCAGAGTACTTTTTGAGTGCTCACACTTGAGTACATTCACTAGGGGTTAAAAACCGAACTAGTCACCTTACCGTTTTGTTTCTGTATCACTATTAAAGAGAAAAAATAAAACAAAGACTTGTGCCATATATAAATATATATATATTGTCGTCTGCAGTAGAAAATTTAAAGTTTGTACTTTTTGTCTGATGAAGTTGGTCTGACGTCGTCACAATTGAATTTAAATAAATTGATTAGGAAGAGAAAATTCATTATGTCTAAATTCAATCAATGGATCTAAAAGTGAATAGTATGATCTTAGAGTTTCTTAAATAATTTCCAAATGTAACTTGAGTCTGATACGTTCGTACACATCTCCTTATGATTACAACCGTTTTCATACGAGATAATCTATAAAATCACCTGTTCATAGCGATAAGCCAATCATTATACTTATAAGGTTTCCTGGCGACAAAATAAGAACTTTTGCTCAATGTACAAGCTTCTGAATATATTTCTCGAAACTTTTCAATATTTTATTATTCATATTGGACATATATATGAACCACGTTATCTACGGCTACAAACTACCGGATATCAAAACTACAATAATAGAAAACGAATGAGAAGATGGTTAGCTATCATTTCTTTCGATGAATAGTCAAAATGAGTGGGCCTGATTTACCGCAGAAAAACGCCTCCCGTCCTTTATTTTTATTTTTCAACCACGCATATAATCAAATTTTAAGTTTTCATTACCTCTAACAGAAGAATTATATTCACTAAGACAAGCATTCGACCACCCGTCTGATGAACTAATATCCATTCTCAGTGGTCCTTGGTTTGATACTGGTGTACACTCTTCTCTATGTGTTATTATATTTCTGAACCAAAATATTGAACAAATATAATCGTCGATCACTTCCACGTCTTCTGAAGATAGTGAGTTTGAGCAGTGATAAACAGTAGGGTTTTCAGTTACATAAGTGAACACAAAAGTTACACACAATGATTTTTTGAAAAATTACAGAAAAATTTCACTTTCTTCAATGTCTCAGTCTGACCTCATCCTCCTGAAGTGTTGCACTCTAGGGGTCGTCTCTAGTCTATGAAATATTAGAATAAAGTACCTACACCGTTTAGGATATATCTCAAACATTTTCAAAGTCTGTACTACTCACTGACATAAAAGCAATTCTACCCATAAGTTTATTATACTTGAGCTATAATCTATATTATCAGTTTAACGAAAACTTAAAACAAACATCAATTTGAATACAATTTTCTCAGAGATCCTTGGAATAATAAACCAGAAGGATCACATTTTGTGATTTTGATCTCCAAAACATGTTCAGAATATTAAACTACGGCAGCGCTTGAATTTTTAGATTTTTCTACTAGTATCGTGCAAATGTAAAATCATTTTAATAGATCCATGTACTTATATTTGAAAAACCGTTCATTGAGCCAAAATGAATAGCAATTTTTGGTACTAAACATAAAATCAAGAAAAGAAATGCATTTTGAAGGCAAAAATATATTATTTTTAATGAAAATTAAACAGTATTGTTAAATCGTAAAAACAAATTTTTATTACTAACATAGTGGTATTAGTATACTGTTATATTTCTTTAGTTCATCATTTACAAACATTGTCTGTGACACATATGACGTCAAAATACATTTGGCTGGAGATTTTTTGCAGACGAGTTGAAGAAAAATCTTTTTTGCAAATTACTTATTAGCATAAGGACATGACTAATTCGAAAATATCTCTTCTCAGGTCTTTTCCGTTACCGAGATAGGCGGCATTATCCGTAAAATAACTACCTTTCCTGCCGGCTACTTATAATCATACCTTTATGAATAAAATA